TTGCCCCCAGAGTCATGCTTATTAATTTCAGTGGGTCTACTCCGAGAAGAACTTGGTTGAATGCCACTCTCTCCGGCCTTTTAAATCTGTTCAGGACACATTGTTGAAAGGTAAATGCATGCTATGTAGAGAGCAAAAGAAGCAACTTTCAGCAATGGGAAGGTGCTGGTGGGAACAAATCCTGAGCGTAAATTTTATAATTAAACATGCTCTCCCCCCATTTTCACCCACAAAATTTTGAGAAGTATGAAGATGTGATATAAAAAATAGAAATAAAAGTAAAAAGATTACAAAAGTGCACCATTATAGAGCCACAAAAATCAGCTGAGCATTCTCTTGCTCTTTCTGCAGCTTCTGCTTTTTAATTCCAAAGGGCATGAACAGCTCACTGCTTCACTCAATGTTCCAATTTGCAATGAAGTTATGACAATGAATTCTAAGCATCTTGACTAGTATTGTTAACCAAATAACAGCAACTCCACAAATGTCACAAATGTCTTTCTCTTTAATGGTTGCAGAAGTCATTGACTACCATTCTAAGAGATTCCTCCTATCTTTTACATTAGACATAATTTAAATTTACAAACCAGCTTACATGTCATGGCTACTTAAAATGGCACCTGAAGACTCTTTGAAAGCCAGCAGCAACACAGCATTTGCCTTTTAGGAGATCTGAAGGTGACTGAAGGAAAATAAGATAAGCGGATTCTAATACTATCATTTAGAACTTAATCTTCTATGAACATTAGATTCATTTTCGCAAAGGACCAGTAATAAGATAACAAGAACTGAAATATCTCCTTAAGTATGTCAGCTGTACACCTTGATAAAGATAATCAGAAATAATTTACAACTGAATTTGCTTTGTAATGCTTCCTGCTATAATAATCCCTCATTTTATTCCATTGTCAGGACAATGACATCCTTCACTTACTACATCAGTGCCATACATCTAATGCAACAGAATTAAAGGGTGTCAGGCTAGGATGGTATGAAATGGCTAGGAGTAGCTCTTCAGAAGACACATTAAAGTAAAGTAATTGTTAGGTGTTGCATTTATCTGATCAAAATGTACCAAGCTAAAGTTTTTTGCTGTATCCCACCAAGTGAAGGAGGCAAACTGCATAGAAATAAGTTCTACTAATGAGGCTTACTCCCAAGTAAGTAGGTGGTATAGAATTGCAAGCTAAGTAACCTATGCTTAAAGTTCCATGGGAATAATACTGATCTTTTAAAACACTATTCCTGCCATAAGGACCTAACAAGACCCTCTGTGCGGAGTTATCTCTTGTTCTCCATTGTTGGTGACCAGGCGTATGCTTCTTCCTGCATGTAGCTTTACCATGAGAAAAACTTACAGTTCCGTTTCTTGCACTGTGATGAACTTTGGATAAAAGGCTAGCACAGAGAGATCCATAGGCACCATCTCCCCAGTGCCCTGGGTGCCCAGGCTCCATTTTTTTTTTTTGTGAGTGCCTGCCCCCCCCCCCCGCTGTGGCTGCATGTTGTAGCTGCATACCACCTTCGCAGCTGCCTCCACACACCACCTGCTGCGGCTGACCACCACCACCTCTGCAGCCTCTGCCATGCATGCCACCACACCAGCCACCTCCATGCATCGCCTCTGTGGCTGCCTCCATGCGCTGCTTGTGCACTGCTGGTGGCTGCTGTCTCCACATTTTTAAAAATGCCTCTGATTTTTAAAAAATAAACATGACAATTGGCTTCCTCATCATTATGTTTGAGAACAAAAAGAAATCTAATTAATGAGATGAAAAGAAATGCGATTGAAAGAATCCTTTATAACAGGGGTCAGCAAACTAAGGCCTGTGGGCCGGATCAGGCCCAATTGCCTTTAGGATCCTGCCCACGGATTGTCCCCTGTGCCATTCCATTCCACAGACTGTCCCCTGTGCCATTCCATTCCCCCCCCTCTCCCTCACACACACCGCGGCAGTGCCTCCTCCCTCCCTCCTCCTGGCTTCTCCCCGCCCTGCCTAGAGGAGGAAGGGGGCTGGGCTGAGCTGGCTGAGCACCATTTTAAGCAGCCCCTCTCTGGAGCCAGCCGTTTCGCGCTGCTCATCTTCCCTCCTCCTCCTCCTCCGCCCTGGTGCTCCTGTGGGCCAGAGAGCGGAGCAGACGAGCTCGCTCTGCCTACCCACGAGAAGGAGCAGCAGCGGTGGTGGCAGCCCCTGGGAAGGTAAATGCAGTGGCTGGGGCTGGGGCTGGGGCTGGGGCTGGGGAGAAGGACTACTTGCCCCCTTGCCTCTTATTCCAGCTCCTCCCCCCCAGTGCAGCTTCTCTGGCCCACCACAAGGTCTGAGGGACAGTGGACCGGCCAGCAGCTAAATTTTTTTTGCTGACCCCTGCTTTATAACTTTGTTTCTTTAACTAGGATAGACTATGGCTTGGGAAGAGGAGACAGTTCTAGAAAAGTGGTTCTAATAAGTACAATTCTAACCTTCAAATCTGAAATCATAATGGGTAAATCTCAAAGTATTATGAACTTTAAAGTGCACTAAAACTAGCTAACCAATGGAGACATCCCAATTTGAAGGTGCTGTAATACAATTCAGGTTAGATAGTATGCTATATACTAGTTGGTCTCCTGCTAAGGAGAACTATCAGTCCAGGAATTATACTGACAGTGTGCCAGAGCCTATCTCATCTGTTTGCAGGGAAACAGATTGCAGCTGCCTTTCAACATAGACTCCACAGAGTCCACCACATGCTGTGTTTTGTCTTGCTCTGAATAGCAAAAGCTGCATTGCCTAAAGGAACTTCAAGACCACCACATGGCACCTCAGAATGGAGGGTTGTTCCAAAGCCCCCAAATTCATTTTAGAGCTTAAATGCATGAGCAGACCTTTCATTATCTTGTGTTTTAGCCTTTTTCAAAAAAGGAAAAACAAACCTCTCTATACTCTGAGAACCTTTGTTTTGGGCTTGCTGCTGCTGCTTATATACAGTTATGGCACTGTCCTTGGGGACTCCTGAGAGGTACATTGGGCTCCATCTTTCTACTGTTGCCAACAAGTTGAAACACTTTCATTTAGGAAGACTTTTGAGGGAGAGTTTATGGGCAGATAGAGGCAGAGTTTGAATTTACAGTTTTGCTGTTGTTACCTTGATATGTCATCTTATGTGTTTTTGTGATATGTAGCTTTAGATATTTTGGACAGATTTGGCTACTAAGCTGTAGGACTGAATAAACTGCCCTTTTAAAATCACAAAACATCAGCTCTGCTTAATAGCTTATCTGTCATTAGTGAGGAGTAATGCCTGGCCACAGTTCATCGTAAGATAGCATACTGCAAATTACGTATTTGTATTTTTAAAAGAAAATTAAAGGGTTAGGATTTAAATAATTTGTTTGTTGTGTTGCACTGGTAAAATTATCACTAGTTACTTAGCACACTAGATACTTAGCAATTTGGCAAGATTTCATCATAGATGAACAAGGTCAAGACTGTGAAGGATAAGAATTTCTGTCATTTTTGGTCTGTTTAAGAACCACATAATATATTTTTAAACACAGCTAAAATGAGCACGAAAAACACGTGTATATATTGTTGCACTCCACCCCAATCGCCGAGCGGTGAGAGATCCCAGGGGTTCCAGGTGCTTACCCAGGGTCCGTGTTTCCTTTTGTGAATGAGGCACCGTGGAGAACATGGCGTCTTTATGATAAATGGTTTATTTACACATATATACATCCTGAGCCTGCAATGGAGAGGTTCATAGCACCAGCACCCCAGCAGGATCTTGCTTCTCCCATAGCTGCAGCCTTTGATCCCAGCAGAAATCATCCATGGCTGTCTCTTTCTGCTTTTCAAACCTGCAGCTTTTGCCTCCAGCTTCTAATTCACATAAGTCATCAACTCTGGACTTTAGTCTAATTAACAGACAGTTGGGGGAGGGAGGCCCACCCATTTGCCCTCTGGCACAGAGCCACTCCCTTTGTTCCCCTATGGATCATTGAGCCAGACTGGCCTGGCTAGTCCAGCAATCGAATCCAGGCTGGATCCAGGAATAAAAAGGGTCTTGACTCCACAACTCACTCCAAACTCATGACACTCTGATATGCCTGGGCAAATATCAGTTGCTGTGGAGTGGCAGTTGGGGGTTGCAAAGACCCATGCAAGCATTTTAATCTGCTATATCTCAGTCATTTCTTAGCTGATATTTGACCAGCTTGTGGAGCTCAACATGTTCTTATCCCATACAATAAGTTCCAGAAAAGTTTTAACAAATCTTCTAGATTCTGTTAATGTTTAGAGCGTCTGAGCTTTAAAGTGGTAGGATGCAGTTGGATCTGTGAAGCTTATAATGTGGTTCTTAAACTGGCCATTCCTGGCCGTGTTGAACATCATAGAAAGTCTTTACCTTTACAGTCTTAGCCCTGAGGATATCCATGTTCTTTTATGAGGAAAGCTTGCAACTAATCTGAAATTTTAGAATAATTAAATTGCTCTTTAAAAAATCAATTTACAACTGAACTTTATTGCTTGGCCCATTTGGAAAGTAGGTACTGATCATCCATCAATGTTATATGAAATCTCGGGTATAACCAGAAGGCAAAGGGGGGCGGGGGGAGCATAAGCATGTACAATTAATTAAGTGCAAGAGTGACCTCATTACATTGATGGAGTATAATGCAGCAACGTGAAAACAAAAGCAAATTCGTTTTGATTAAATATGCATTGATTTATGACATTGAGCACCCCAGGTTATATGACTTTTAATGCATATGACTTTCATCTGTAAAGTTAAAACATGATTTAGAACTTAAAAAAAAAGAAAGAAACACAGAATGTTTTCTGCATTTCATTCAAACCAAAAATGACTTTCAAGAAACTCCTTAACATCACCTTCAGTATGAATGTATGACTCGCACAATTGTACTGGCTTATTACAATAGGGTTGCCATATTTCAAAAAGTGAAAATCTGGACACAAAAGGGCCATCTAGTCCAACCCCCTGCAGTGCAGGAATCTTTTTGCCCAACGTGGGGCTTGAGCCCACAACCCCTGAGATTAAGAGTCTCATGCTCTACTGACTGGCAAAAAGGCAGCTGGGCTGCAGGCACCCTATGGAAAGTTGGATATGTCTGCTTCCAGCCCACGTCAATCACACATCTTTTAAATTCAAAATTCCATTACATTACATTTCTCCAATAACCTCTACATTATTTTTACATTCCTCTCAAAATATGTCTGCACGAGCGCTTTCCTATCATCATGTGCTTCAGATATAGCGGCACTGACTCATCCTCGCTTTTGGAGAATATGTCTGAACAGCTAAAAGGTGCAAATAAATGCAAGGGGAGTGGGGAGGCAGAATTCATTAAACAGCACTACATAGATAAGTACGGTATATTATCCAGTCTTATTTAAGTAGTATGGTAATATCAGCAAGTGCAGATACTGACAAGAATATAAAGAATGTGTAGAGGAGGGGCCTGGGCATTAAGGCAGGCAGCGTCTAAGAGAATTTGCAAGGATCAAATCACTGTACTGTAAATAAAATGCAAGGGTAGATGTCGTCCTCAGCTTTTTCATTCCAAAATATGTAATTATATATTTTAATACATAAGTAAATGTGTCTTTTCTCTCAAAACGGGTATTTAAATCTGCAAGAAATGCAACATTTGAAGAAGTATGAAATCAGTATTTTGCAAAGATCGAATTCCTCAAACCTCCCTAGGGCAGCCTAAAGAGGCTTGTGACTTTCCTTGGCTTCCTCTCCCTGACCAAGTCCATTCTTATCCTGCCTGCCTAGACCACACTACAGCTAACAAGCTACGGCTCCTGCTGTGGATGAACTGTGTTATATTTTCAGTGGGAAAACTAGCAGATTTTTTAAGGCTGCTGCTTTAAAACACACATACAGAGTTATAATTTGCTTGCCATTGCAGAGTTTATGCTTACGAAAACTGCCCTGGCAGGGACAACATAATTAAAGTATCTCACTTTTAGAGAACAAATTCTGGAAGATTTTTGTCCCACCAACCCCAGGGTTAATATTAGTTTACCTCAGACAAAGCATTCTGGAAACTAGAGTATCTGAAATTACACTGAATTATTTAATTGTGTGGACAGCAAGTTGTTAGTATCATTCTTAGGAAGATCACGTTTCTACATTGACTTTGTTGTTCTATCCCTGGCATGAACAGAAACAATAACCGAGCTAATAAAGCAGTAGGTCAAGTTGCATGGGACTGAAATCCTGATGAGGCCAATGACCTGGTTATGCTACAAATTCTGTCTCCCTCCCTCCCTCTCTCACCATCTTGTTTTTAAATAGCACAAACCTGCCCATCTCTGCTATCACAAATGCACACTCACTGATTAAGACAGAGCTTTCCATAGCTCGATCTTCTGGGAATATTTTTTTTTTAATCTATTTTTGTTCTTGGTGTTCTAGCTAATTCAGATATCAATAGTTTCTGATCGTTAATTACAAGAAGAGCAATAAGGGTCTCCTTGGGGGAAAGCATTCTTTTTAAAGCTGAAAACAGCCTTGTTTGTTTATTGCTCTATACTTGCTGGATGCACAGATTGTAATGATACAGTTATCACTGCTGGGAGATGTAGTGCTCTCATGTCCTGAACAGAAACTTAAAAATAATAATTTATAAAGAGGAGTTTTATTTTGATTTGAGCAAGGAGCACAGCTGGCTCTGGTCAAGGACCCAGTCTTGTGGAAGACAAGACCAATACAAAGAGCTTCCTGCAAATTTTTGTCTATGGGTGTGTTCCCCCCTGGTGTATTTCACCGCTCCTCCAACCCCCCCAGCTGTTCATAAGAGCTTCATTAGTGTAAGATTTGTTTCTGTTTGTGTACACCCCAGGGGGCACTAATGAGGGGGCAGGGAAGTTAAACTGTGCATAGCTGTCCACACCTTGTTGGGGATGAATTAGGAATGGCTTGAGGACTCCAATCTGGGTGAAGCTGGTTTGAGAAACAACCCATCAAACAGTCGTCTTTTACAACAAAGTACAGGACACATATGCATTGACTAAGTGTGAAGGAATGGTTTAAAAAAGAAAAAGAGGGAAAAGTTAAACACATCAAAAATGCATGTCAGCATTATGACCAGGTCTGGGATTAAAGATGCGCGCTCTCTCTCTCTCTCTCTCTCTCACACACACACACACACACACACACACACACACACGGCTGTTTCACACATACAAATTCATTATTTGATCATTGTAGCTTGGGGAAAATTGCCCAGATTTGAAAATCATGCCATTTTTTTACTTCCCCAACACAGATACTTCATGTACATACATTGATTTGTAGTATAAATGCAGCAGCTTAAACTATTTTCTAGATGGCAAAAAATTTAATATTAAATATTATATGCTGAATAAATAAATAAATAAATAAATATCAATAATCTATTGTAGCTGAACGACATCAACAAACCCTTCTGGTATCCTGAGTTTTGTGCTCTGATTACAGTACTTTCTCCTCCAGTCTGACCTGCCTGTCCAAAGCAGCGCAGAACAGCCGTGGATCCGAGTGCTGTGATCTAAGGGGAAGCAATGTTGCAGGAAACAAGGCAAAGCCTCACAGCTTCTGCTCCACTAATGATGCTGAGCCTGTTTTAAAAGGACAGTAATTGCTATGGCCAGAGCGATGGGGGAAATGCGTCGTTGTTTTGTTCCCCACAAAGTTTTAAAGTTTTAATGAAGGTCTCTAACTGCAGCTTGTAAAATGTATTAGATACAGATATCGATGTATATTGCAAATCAAAAACAGTTTTGTGTTAACTGAGAGTAGAAAGAGATGCCATATCTTCACGCAGGAAAAATACAATATGAAAAAACAAACAAGGATTTGCTTACAAGCTAGTATCTGACATGCACTGTCAAGAGAATTGTCTTAGGGGTTGTGTTTTGCTTTGCTTGAAAGGAGTCATCTTAGCTCCAGCTCAGGAAAAAATATTTATTTATTTTCAAAGTTTAGTTTAGAGCATCTGCATTATTTCCTGTTCCATATTCTGTCTGTAAAGGGTCTTGGTTAATAAAACTTGTTTTCCATATTTGGTCACAATAAAGAATAAATACTTATTATTATAAAGTAGGTAATGAAATTAACTTTACCTGGGTGAATGCAGTTGTTTAGTTACTTGGGGATGAGGAGCAATTTTTTTTAAAAAGACCACTGCTTCTTCTTTTATGTTACCTGTTTTTCTGGGTTGGTTGAATTTTGGCCTTGACATTTGAATTGCTTCCTTTCATTTTTCAGTAAATGTAAGATGTGAACTAATGACAATGAGTTCACCAAGCTAAAAAATACAGACCAACCGAGTTAATAACAGAAACATCCAGAAAGCATTTGCAAGTTGACAGCTGCAAAGAACGCTGCCAAGAGAGATAAATAGGTATCTGAGCATTTATGTGCAGCCCTGGCATTTGAGGCCTGCATTTGAGTCAACATACAGTGGTACCTCGGGTTACAGATGCTTCAGGTTACAGACTTCACTATCCCTGAAATAGTACCTCGGGTTAAGAACTTTGCTTCAGGATGAGAACAGAAATCGTGCTCCGGCAGCAGTGGGAGGCCCCATTAGCTAAAGTGGTACCTCAGGTTAAGAACAGTTTCAGGTTGAGAACGGACCACCAGAATGAAGTAAGTTCTTAACCTGAGGTACCACTGTATTGCTGAAACCACGGTTGTTGTTAGAGGGCAGAGGAAAGAGAAGGGGAAGGGGAAATTGAGTTTGCTTGTGATCTTCGTCTATAGATCCTATTAATTTACAGTCCTGAACACTCTATTCACTTCAAGGAAACAAGTAAATGATTCAATGTGACAATCTAGTATTCAAAATTCAGGAAACTCAGATGTGATGCCCAGCATTCTTCCTAAGGTTGCATCTGTCAGAACTGAAAAGACTATATGTTTTATTTTATATGGTTTATGAATAAAATTTTACATACTTGGCAAATGGCTCACCTGGTGGCTCATCCTACATCTTAGGGGGTGAAATGGAACAGATTTACTATTATTATTATCTTAAGCAAGACAGGAAATTCATTACATCCTTACTCTTATATGCTTGGGGATACAACACAAAAATGCCAAAGGCAATCTCGATATGGCAAACAGGCAGAATAGAAGGTGACATTAAGGACTGGCATATCAGGGACTTTTTGTCACAGCCCCACCTGATACTCTATGTTTGAAAGGAATAAAGAACCCACCAGATTATCATGCAATATTATTCATGATAGAGCATTATTGAAGCAATGCTACAGCTATGCACACAGCTATGAAGCCTGCTTGCTGGTCTCTCAGGTTTTCAGACTCATTACTGAACAACATACTTTTCTTCAGGTGACAAAATCTGACTCACGCAACCTTCTTATTTATGGTTCACAATAATTATATCATTACTGGCCATCCCAATCTCTGCCAAATGATGCATGAGATTCCAAGGGTCTTGGCACTCAATCAGGGTCTATGTTCCTTTGGGGGAAATGAGTTGCTTTTAGTGGAGAGAGATTTCACAGTATTCCCACCACAGGAGGAGCCTGTCCTCCACAGCAGCCCAGTACTGGATTCCCAGGCATCTCCATGCATCTTTCCTAGCCTGCATTCAGCCAGCCCACCAGGATGGTTCTGGCCTTCATCTGGCAGCTCATCGGGCTTTCCCCCTTCTTCTGCAACCTCTTAATTTCAAAAGCACCCATATTTCTCCCATAATGGCTGGCCATTGTCCAGTAATTACACCTTGATGGCCCTTCTCCCAGTGTGAATTCCTGGCTTAGGTCCTGCAGTTTAAATCAAACATATGGCATCTTCCCTTCAATACTCCAAATATTATCTAAATTCTACCATTTATTAATTTCTAACATTCACTAGCAGTTATGGGTGCCCCTGCACCCCCAAACTGTTACTCCAGATCTGTAACATTTTTTGCTAGAGTAGTCATACAGGGCCATGCACATACTGGACTGCTAGCAAAGTTACAGTATGCTCTGAAACTGAGATGATGTACTGTATTATAATCCATTATTTACATGGTATAGTTATTGTCTTGAAATATAGGAGCACAAGTGTTCACCA